TTTAAACATTTTTAGCAATGAATACCTACTGATTATATAATCAGAAGGAAATGATGAATTTGGGTATTAAAAATATGATTGTGTTCAAACTGTAATGTCCAACTTGTTTGCCATGGAAATTCTTGCCTCATTAAAATTTACATTGGGCTGAGGACATAGCTCAGCAAAGGCAAGGTCCTGAGTTTGATTCCCCCATACAAAAAAAAAAAGAAGAAGAAAAAGAAAAAAATGTACTTCTAAATCCGAAAGGGAAATAGATCCCCACCACTTTTCCCTCACGCCCCCAATGGGTCCCTTGCATGTCCTGTTTAAAAACTGTAGACCTTGCAGGCTGCACGGCCAAGTGCACCACATGTGGGAGATCAGAAATTGTTTTCAGAGATAAGCCTACGTGCAGCCCACAAGTGCCATCTGCTCCCCGCCCCCACGTGGACACACCAACTGCTGTTCTGCCCTGACTGAGCTGCTTCATCTTCATGACCTGATGTCTGGTTTTGCCTTGATTAAGTGTCAGTGCTTCTGCATTTGTGTTTAACAGCAAACGGAAGAGCCGTGTTCCATGATCTTGTCAGAAATAACCCCAAACCCTCAGAGAGGCAATTCTAGTGCAGTTGTGAAGCGCTAGGAGCCCCACGACATGGGCTTACCTCAAGGTGACCCTGTGCAAACTACCTTACTGTTCCAGTTTCCTCACCAGCGAAAAGCTTGTCGTTGTGACACAGTACTAGCCACAGAGAAACGTTGCAAGTATTATAGGAGTAAATATATGCAAAAGTATTTGGAATAAGGATTTTGCCATTATTATTTTATGTTCAGTCCTTATCAAAAAGCTATTAGAGCCAGGTGTGGTGGTGCACACCTGTAATCCCAGCACTTGGGAGGCTGAGGCAGGAGGATCCCTGTGAGTTCAGGACGATCCCTGTGAGTTCGAGACCAGCCTGGGCTGCATAGTGAGTTCCAGGTCAGTCTCAACTACATAGTGAGACCCTGTCTCCAAAAAACCAAAAAAAAAAAAAAAAAAGCTGTTAGAAAAAAGAATATTTAGCCGGGCATGGTGGTACATGCCCGTAATACCAACACTCTGGGAAACTGAGGTAGGAGGCTCTTAAATTTGAGCCCAGCCTAGGTGACTTAGCAAGATTCTGCCCCAAAATAAAAAATAAAATGGTCTGGGGATGTAGCTCAGTGCAAAGGCCCTGTGTTCAATTCTCAGTACCACACACCCCTACACACACACACACACATGCAGGTTAGCACATGGGAGGATAATGTCCATCTATTCCTCTAAATATGCAGGATTTTTTCCTATAAATATTCAAGTATAAAGCTGTGTATTTGGTTAGCAGCATTATTTTAGCTGTAGGCTAAATTATTATTTGCTGTGTCACTTGTCTTGATGAAAATTACAAGAAATGAACATGAAAAACTTGCCGGTGCACTCATTGCAGGGTAGAGCTCACCATACTCAGCATATTTTACCTAGAAGCCCCTTCATCAAGACATCAGCACCTGTGGTTTAATTATGTGTCTAAAGGCATGACGGCTTAGCTTCGGTATTTACTCATGGCTGCTTCCTTTCCTTGGCTGTGGCGGCTATTCAGGACCCATGACAAACACCCTTGATGCCTGGTGGATGATTTTTGTCCCCTTACTTGTCCTTCATCTCAAATTCCTTTGTAAACTGGCATGTGATATAAGGCAAATATCTATAAGTTGACTTAATTTTTAAATTTTTTAGAAGACATAGAACCAATAAGAAAACAAATAAATATCACTAATCCAAAACTCTGAAATCTGAAATGCTCCAAAATCTACAGTTTTTTGGATATGATGTCACAAGTGGACAATTTCACAGCAGATCTCACATGACAGGCGAGACCCACAAAAAATGCATAAAATTACCTCAGATTGTGTGTATAAGATATATATGAGGGCCAGGGATTTAACTCAGTGGCACAATGCCTGCCTCACAAGTGCAAGGTCCTCAGTTCAATCACTAGTACCAAAAAAAAAAAAAAAAAAGTATAATAGATAATATGAAATAGGAAGATAAGACCCAAAGGGGAAGAGGAAGTGGGAGGGGCAGAGGGAGGGAAAGGAATAAATATGAGAAAAGGAAAAAATGGAAACAAAATTTTTGTAAATAGGGAGGGGTGGAGAGGTGGAAGGGAGGGCAGGGAAATGGGGAAAAGAAATAAGAACCAAGATACACCATGTAATGGTACTAAAATGCACCTTTTATTGTATACCTAAAATGTAATAATAAACTTAATGAATCTTTTAAAAAGCTAATAAAAAGGAGCTGTATATGAAACATATTAATTTCATGTGTCTGTTTCTGATAGTAGAGATTAAACCCAGAGCCTTTTCTCTGAGCTTCACCCCCAGCCCTTTTTTTTTCTTTATTTTGAGACAGGGTTTCCCTGAGTCGTTACATTGCCTAGGCTGAGCTCAGAGTTTCAGTTCTCATGCCCCAGCCTCTCAGAGTGCTAAGATTATGTGGGTGTGCAACCACGCCAGCTATGAATTTCATGGTTACCCTTGAGTCCCATGTTTCACGAGTATGCAAATATTCCAAAATCCAAAACCCCAAACAGTTCTGCTCCCAAGGATTTCAGATCAGGGATACTTACCTAAAATAAGCAGATGAAAAACTGAATCCAAGCTGATAGGCTACACAGGGAAACCCCACTTCCCAATTACACTCACATTCATGTCCCAACAAGCATGGACCCTCTGGTTGTCCTTCATAAGCCTCCAAAACAGTGTAAAGCAACTGCTATCTCATTTAAAATGAACAGCAGCTACCAATTAGACAGTCAATTGATGGATTTAGCTTCTATCATTAAAAGAAGCTTATCCTAAATTCTCCTAAAATACAGTAGGTGCAAAAATGACAACCAAGTACAGAATGAATGAATGTGATGGATGCTCAGTATCCTTAGAATAGCAAAAGTAAATTTGCACCAATTTTTATGGGCTCAGTTCAAGAGAACTGAGTCCAATTTCCAATGGATTGGCGAGCAAATTCACAAAAGTCTATAAAAAAGAACAGTCTGAATCATGTTTGTTTGTTTTTTTTAACCAGGGATCGAATTTGGGACCTTGCCCTTGTGAGGCAGGCGGCGGCACCACTGAACTAAACTCCCACCCCGAATCATGGAATTTTTTAAGTGGGATGGAATCTTAGTATTTTAAAGCTGGAAAGGACCCCCCAAAAGTGCAATGATCTGGAAGCTCAGGATGCTTTCAGGGGCCAGGGACAGAGGCCGGGGTTGGGGGAGATCTTCTGACAGTGGTGTCTCTGGCCCCAGCCATGCCCAGCTCCAGCAAAGAATCCATCCAACCAACCCTACTGTGATAGTTTCCACACTTCCCAACCTATAGAACCATTTTATTAATCTTTCAGCTGAAGTTTCATGTTCCAGCTGAACGACCTGCATATTTATTCTCCAGCTTAAAGGAGTACAGCTTGTCAGAAGCCGAGTGGGGAGGGGCCCCGCCATGGTCATCCATGCACTCAGGAAAGACATTCCTGTAAACTCCGAGCAGAGGCCCTTCGATGCCTGCTCCACATTGGGCAGAAACCCAAACAATGGCCTGGTGGAAAGTGACCTTACTTATCTGTCCACACAGTCCTCACGTAATAAGGGTTTGAAGTCAAGAGTCGTGACCACATCCGAATCCACCAACCCCGCAGCTAGTTGGTCTGAGACCAGGGTTGCAAGTACCCAGTTTCAGAGAAGTGCATCTCTCCTTGGCTATACTTTAAAATCATCTGGGGAGCTTTAAAAAAAACTACTGATGGCTGAGCTCAACTCAGACCAATTAAATCAGAATCTCCTAGGTAGGTAGAAGTCGCAGGCATTACTATTTTTACAATAGTTCCCAGGTGATTCTAAAATGCAGCTGGAGTTGAACATCATTGCTATAGATAGATAAGGAAGCCGCCAATCTAATGAGAACTCAGTACCCTGTTTAGAAATAGTCCCAAGAACCCCCTCATACTTCCCCCCAAGACCTAATATGGTAGTAAAGGTCTGACCCTTCCCCCAGTTATCCTGCAGGACTAAAGCTTTACTTGCTGCTTATTTTGCTTCCTCAACAGTAATTCAGCACCTAGTCTATGTCACACACAGCAGGAACCTAGAAGAGATTTGGATACAGTTCCTCCCTTCAAGGAGCTTAGAGATGGGTCAACACATTTTTATATCTTAATAGAAATTAATGTTGGTCAGTGTTTTCCAGGCACTTGCAACAGAACTGTTCTAAGGCTTCATGTATCAACCCATTTAATTTTCCCAGCATCCTATGTCATAGGTCCTTCTCCTATCAAGCTTCTTTTACACATGAGGATCTAGGCCCATAAAGATTTTTGTCATTGCCTAGGATTCCATAGCTAGTAGCTGGGCTAGGAATCCAACTGAAGCCCCTTGGCTCTACCATCCACACATTTCACTGCTACAGCGAGTAGATGCGAGGACGTGTTAAAAAGTCACATACTTAATGAATGTAATTGTATTGTATACCTAGATTGTACCAATAAATGCAATAAAAAATTTTTTTAAAAATTAAAAAAAAAAAGTCACATACTGGGCTGGAGATGTAGCTCAGCGGCACTGTGCCTGCCAGGCAAGCATGAGGTCTGAGTTTGATCCCCAGTACCAAAAAAAAAAAGTCACAGAAGAGTGAAAAGACATTGAACACATTGTTGATTCAAAGGATTCAAATCCAGTGTGGGTCTGAATTAGATTAGGGCCAGATCATTAAAGGGCTTATGCCCCTTGAGTGGGGATTTCTATTTCTACTCTAGCAGACAAAGTGTAGCCAGCCAAAGTTTTAAACTGAGAAGAAAAATGAGCAGATCTACATTTTAGAAGATAAAGGTGAGAATAAGCACAAAGAAGGAGAGACGCACAGAGAGGTGCAATTCTGAGAGGTGACGTGCGTAGGAGGAAGGCACTGATGGGGATGAGGAGAGCGGTAGGATGGCCGGATACCTCGGACTCAGGAACGGCAGGACATCACGGCTGACTGGAGTTGGGGACAGGGGAGGCAGCCTGGCCGGCCGCATCCGGAGAGAGACTCGGCCGTTGGTGCGGAAGAGCGGAGCAGAGATCTGCAGCGGGGAAAGTCATGACTTTAGCTCTGGATGTGCTCACTTTCCACAAACCTTCCTCTCTGCCGGGTGCTAGGAGGCACGACAGCTACACTGCTTCAGACCCTTTGGGCTCGCAGAGATATTTCTCTGCAAAATCATAAATATGGAAACTTCCTAAAGTTTCATAGAAAGGCATTGCTTTCGGATTTAGATGTGATGCGAAGGGAAGCAACCCATGATGCCGATTTTGTTGTTCCAGAAAGTGTCATCCTACAAAAACCAAGGGGGAAAAAACACTCTCTTTATACAAATAAGGAATCCAAATGTAACCAAGCTGACCTCAAATGAGGTCTAGAAAAAATGAGAAACACATACTTTTCAGCTACCTAAATATTTGAGTTCTATTTTAAGGACAATGGTGGCGTTTGGGTGTGTGTGTTCAGAACAAGTTTAGTTCTAGTTTGTTTGTTTGTTTGTTTTTCTCATTTTAACTTTATGGCACAGAGCTTCAACTAACTGCTTGTCTCTACACTGTTTGCTTTTATCTATTAAGACTAAGTTTAGCTTACCAACAAAGAAAAGCCCAGGCCCTGATGGATTCACTGCTGAATTTTATAAGACATTTAGAGAAGAACTACTACCATTACTCTTCAAACTTTTTAATGAAATCGAAAGGGAAGCTATACCTTCAAATTCATTCCTGGAAGCAAGTATCACTTTGATTCCCAAACCAGGGAAAGATACAACTAAAAAGGAGACCTACAGACCAATCTCCTTAATGAATATAGATGCAAAAATCCTTAATAAGATACTAGCAAACAGAATACAAAGGATTATTAAGAAGATCATCCATTCTGACCAAGTCGGATTTATTCCAGAGATGCAAGGGTGTTTCAACATACGAAAGTCAATAAATGTAATACATTATATTAACAAAGTCAAGGACAAAAACCATATGATCCTCTCAATAGATGCAGAAAAAGCATTTGATAAAATTCAACACCCATTCATGATAAAAACCCTGCAAAAAATTGGAATAGATGGTCTATACCTCAATTTAATAAAGGCTATTTATGAAAAACCATCAGCCAACATCATATTGAATGGCCAAAAACTGAAAACCTTCATGTTAAAATCAGGAACAAGACAAGGATGCCCACTATCGCCACTTCTCTTCAATATAGTTCTGGAAACATTAGCCACAGCAATTAGACAAGAGAAAGAAATTAAAGCAATAAAGATAGGAAAGGAAGAAGTTAAACTATCATTATTTGCTGATGATATGATACTCTACATTGAAGATCCAAAAAACTCCACCAAAAAACTTCTAGACTTAATTGACAGATTCAGTAAAGTATCTGGATACAAGGTGAATACCCAAAAATCAATAGCCTTTCTATACACAAATAACAGACAGACAGAAAGAGAAATAAGGGAAAAAATTCCTTTTACAATAGCATCCAAAAAAATGAAGTATCTAGGAATCAATCTAACAAAAGAAACAAAAGATCTCTACACTGAAAACTACAGCACTCTGAAAAAAGAAATCGAAGAGGATATAAAAAAATGGAAAGATATCCCCTGCTCCTGGGTAGGAAGAATCAACATAGTGAAAATGGCCATACTACCGAAACTGCTATATACATTCAATGCAATGCCAATTGAAATTCCAACACTATATTTCACAGAACTAGAAAAAAGAATCCAAAAATTCATTTGGAACCACAAGAGACCTAGAATAGCAAAAGCCATTATAGGCAACAGTCACATGGCACCAGGTGTAACAATTCCCAATTTGAAACTATACTACAAAGCCACTGTGATAAAATCAGCATGGTACTGGCAAAGAAATAGGCCTGAGGATCAATGGAACAGACTGGAAGACACAAAAACAAATGCAGATGTACTCAGCTACCTCATCTTCGACAAAGGAGCTCACCATCCTCAGTGGAGGAAAGATAGCCTCTTTAATAAATGGTGTTGGAAAAACTGGATATCAACCTGTCACAGATTAAAATTAGACCCTTATCTTTCGCCATGCACTAAATTAAAATCCAAATGGATTAAAGATCTAAATATTAAAACAGAAACATTAAACTTGCTGGAAAGTAAGTTAGGCAGAACTCTGGAAGACATTGGTATAGGAAAAGACTTTATGAACAAATCCTCAGTAGCACGGGAACTAGCAGAAAGAATCAACAACTGGGATCTCATCTTACTAAAAAGCTTCTGTACTTCAAAAGAAACCATTAGCAGAACTAAGAGACAATCTACAATGTGGGAAAAAATTTTTACCAGCTGTACCTCAGACAAAGGACTATTATCAAGGATATATAAAGAACTCAAAACAATCAGTCCCCCCAAATATAAAGACCCGATCCAAAAATGGGCATCCGAAATGAACAGACATTTCTCATACAAAGAAGTGAAAGCAGCAAATAAATATATGAAAAAATGTTCCACATCACTGGTCATTCGAGAGATGCAGATGAAAACAACACTGAGATTCCACCTCACCCCACAAAGAATGGCTGCTATCAAGAAATCACACAATAACAAATGTTGGCGGGGTTGTGGGGAGAAAGGAACCCTTCTCCATTGTTGGTGGGAGTGCAGACTGGTGCAACCACTATGGAAATCAATATGGAGATACCTCAAAGAGCTTGGACTGGAGGTTCCATTTGACCCAGCCATCCCTCTGCTGGGTATCTTTCCAAGAGAACTAAAAGAATCATTGCACAGAGAAGTATGTGCACTCATGTTTATAGCGGCACAGTTTGTAATAGCTAAATCTTGGAAACAGCCCATTTGCCCATCCGTTGGAAACTGGATAAAGAAGATGTGGTTTTTCTATAAAATGGAATATTACTCATCCATAAAGAACGAGAAAATAGATTCATTCATAGGAAAATGGATACATATTGAAGATATACTCCTAAGTGAAATAAATAAGTCACACATGTGTAAATACCGAATAGTTTCCCTGGTGTGAATAATCTGCAACAATGCATAAGATTCTAATAAGATTACTGTCATTTAGAAATGGGAAGAAAGGAGCTAAAGGTGTAGGGAAGGTGGGATGGGTAGGGGAAGAGTAAAAAGGGAAAACAAAAAAATGTGAGAGAATGAAAAGATGAAAATAAAGTGTTTGTAGATGGGGAGGGGAGGAGGGGGTTAAGGGAGGGCAGAGGTAAGGGGAAAAAATGAGAATCAAGACTTGTCATGTAGAGGTACAAGATCCCAACAATGAATGTAACCGTACTGTATCCCTAAAATGTACCAATAAACTCAATTAAAGCTGGAAAAAAAAAAAAAGACTAAGTTTAGGTAGAGAGACACTCGTACAATGTTCATTACTTAATGTAGCCATAAATTACATGACTGATATTTAAGTGTGGATAGCCAAAGGACAACCTTGAAGCAGGATTTTAGAAACTCTTTTTGCCTTGTTACCACACTTTGCCAGAGACTGAACCTTTAATCGTGGGCCACCCTATAACCTCCACTGCCATCATAATGTAATAACCACGCCATAAGTTCAGGCGTGCAAGGCAGCGCTCCATTGTTAAATGAAAATAGTACACATGAGGTCGGGCTCGAGCAGGTCCTACAGATCCAGTAAGTTACATGAAGAAGTAGCCTGGAAGCCCACAGCCCCTTCTCCAGCTCTGTTGCCTTCTTTCTCAGACCCATGAGACCTAGGGGATTTCCTATGAATAACTGAAAAAAAAGAGAAAACTTAGGTCCGGTTTATAGAAGGTTCTATACAATATTCAGGCACTATCCAAAAGTAGATAGGTGTACTCTGCAAATCCTTCTGCAATTTCCCTGAAGAACAGTGGTGAAAGGAAGGAGTCCCAGTGGGTAGGATTACAAGCCATGACATTACAAACTGTGGGCCTGGTTATTCATTTTGCTTTGGAAGGCAAAAAAGGCCAGAGGTATGAGTCTATGCTGACTCACGGGCTGTGGCTAATTATTTGGCTAGTTGGATTCCGAAGAAACATGGTAAGTAAACTGGTGACAAGATGGACCAAGGAAGAAATATATGGATAAAAGGATATGGACAAAGAATAGGATATTTGTGCCTCACGTGAATGCTCACCGAAAGATGACCCCAACAGGGAAGAATTTTAATAATCAAGGAGGTAGGATGACCCATTTTGGGAAGCACAGTTAACCTCCTTCTCTAGCCATCCCTATCCTTGACTAATAGGCCCAAACAAAGTGACCATGGTAGCAGAGGCCCAGCAACATGGAGCTACATTCACCAACTACTTCAGCCACTACCAAATGCTATCGCAGAGAGCAACACTCAGTCTCCTAAAAGGCACCATTTTCCATGACGTGATCAGGCAACCTCCAGGAAATGTTGATTACATCGAATCACTTCCATCATGAAAGGGGCAGCATTTTGTCTCATTCTGAAAATGAATTTGCGTTCCCTGCATGCAATGCTTTGGACAAAACTACCATCCTTCCTTTATTATCATAGTAATCCACGTGATTGGCATTGTTTCTGACCAAGGAGCTTACTTAATTGATCTTGCCACGTTCCCTAGACTCCTGAAGTCACTGGCGTGATAGAAGAGAGGAATGATGTTTTTGAAAACCCAAGTAGCACCAGTTAGGGTCAATGCCTTGAAGGACTGGGGCAGGGTATCTCTAACTATGGTGCCACTTCTCCCATAGTTAAGTTTCACAGGTCCAGGAATCAAGAGCAAAAACGGAAGTGGCATCAGTCACTATTGCCCCTTGAGAATCACCAGCAAAAATTTTGCTTCCTTTTGGGAGGCATTATGCTCTGCTTGTCTAGAAGCCTTGGTGCCAAGGAAAGAATGCTTCCATTGGGAGACACAATGATCCCCTTGAACTAAAAGTTGAGGAGCCCTGGCCAGTTGGGGCTCCTCAAGCCTCTGCCTCATAGGACAAAGGGAGTTACTGTATTTTTGAAATTATTAATCCTCATCACCAAAGAAAAGTTGAGTGGCTACTGTATAATGGCGGCAAAGAGTGTTTCAAATTCTCTTACTACAACTATATCTTGTCATTAAAAGACTACAATAAAACTCGGGAAGTTTTGGGTGACACTGTCAGGCTAAGAACCATGACCAGCTAAGGTGCTTACTAAAGAGCAAAAGAAAATGTGGGATTGATAACAGAAGTTGCAGAATTCAGAATTTATGGTTTTTTGCTTTGTTTTGTTTTGGTACCAACAATGGAGCTCAGAACCTTGTGCCTTCAGGGAGTGGCACTGAACTAAATTTCCGGCCCAAAATTTATGTTTGTTTTCTTCTCTCTTATTATTTGTCAATGCATTGATAATGTTTAATAATGGTTAACTTATCATCACAAGTTGTGGGATATCAAGATTAGTGAACATATCCCAAAGATACTACTTTCTCTTGTGGAGAAGTAGTTTATTGTATGAAATATAATTCTATCTGATTAGGCACAAGTATGGTCTTATTACTGTCTTTACTGGGAAAGCCAGGTATGGCAAACTGAGGCAAGGGAATCCCAATTTTGAGCCCCGCCCCTCAGCAATTTAGTGAGATCCTGTTTCAAATAAAAATTTTTAAAAGGACTGGGGATGTAGTAAGTGGCATAACACTTGCCTAGCATGTGCAAGTATGAGAGAAAGAGAAACAGATGCATGCATGCTCATGTATCAAACTGACCAAGAATGGACAATGACAGCTGTGTGTCACTGCAGTTAGTCCTCAGTTAATAAACCAAACACTGATCTAGTACTTCATGTTGCCATGAAGTAGTTCGCCCATGTGATTAATATAAGGAGACGGTCCTGGATAATCTAGATAGGCCCAACTCCATCCACTGAAAGCCCTTAGCAGTACAACTGAGGTTCTTTGGGGAAAGAATTCCACCTGAGGTCTGCAGCTCCCACTTTTCCCCAAGTTCCAGCCTGCCTTTCCTGATGGCTGCAGACCGCACCAGAGCCTGGAAGTCCTTGGGGCACCTGATGTGTTAAAGGAACTCAGGAGTGTGAAAGGTGCAAAAGAGAGCAACAGTATAGGTAACAAACCTGACTTGTGGATCTCAGAGCAGGTACGGAAAAAGTGGTTCTGTCTTGGGGACTTGGTGGTACATGTCATTTTTTCCAGTAGTAATTCTCCTCTGATCCTCTTACAACTGTTCTACAGACACCTTTCAGATGTCAACTCTAACACCCACAACCACTACCTCTCAACCCACAGTCCCCGACTCCTAGTGCCCTAGAGTTTTCCTCAGGACATTACACGACACCCCAGGGATTATTAGTCACCACACACTTTCTCAACTAAAAGCCTTTGTCCAATAAGTTCTGCGTTCAATTGTTAGTACCCTGGCAGGTCATTGGTATACAATAAATAGTTAAGATGCCAACTTTGGATGCCATTCTCTGGTCAAAACCTACTGCTAGTTAGCAAGGCAGAAACAGACTAACTGGAAAATAGTGAAGTATATCCCTAATGGCTTAAATTAACACTCAAAACCATCAGTCATTCAAAGTATTCCTGATAACCAGAAAAATTTCAGATTCAACAGACTGCTCTTTCAGCCATTTATTTCTTTATTTACAGTTTGTGTCCAATGCAAATCAATTCCATAACATGAGTTACTATGAATCAAAGCATAAATACACAAACACAATATACAATCCAAACAGATGTTCAGCACTCAGATATGAAGAGAAAGAGTGTTCATTCACACACACAGTAGCCTCAGATCTGTTCCATCTGGTCGTTCCCGTGTAGATTTCTAAAAGGATTATTGAGACTCTTGTGGTCCTATTAGACACTGGAACATGTAAGCATAAGTGTGCGACCATGCGAACAAGAGTTCAGGGTGCAGGGCTGGGGATTTAGCTCAGTGGTTCGGCGCCTGCCTTGCAAGCACAAGGACCTGAGTTAAATCCCCGGTACCAAAAAAAAAAAAAAAAAAAAAAAAAAAGAGTTCAGGGTGTGTGTGTGTGTGTGTGTTTTGTTTTGTTTTTTTTTTTTAAGGATTCTGTGCATCAAGGAAGTTGTAAAAGACAGCAAAAATCAAGGCTTACAACAGTTCTATCTAAAAATATTGACTGATAACAGAGTGGGTTCCAAATGTGGCTACTGTGATCCATAGTTTTAAAAAAAGTATTTACAGAAAAAGTATAAAAATTTTTGCAAATTTATGCAAGTTAGCTTCTAGTCTTAGCTTCCCAAATGCTTGATTTAGTTTTGGCTCCTTCACATATTTACCTTTTTAATTTCAAGATTTGTGATTTTATCTTCAGAAGACTATAGCTGGGATTTAGCTCAGTGGTACCACCGCCTGCCTCAAAAGCGCAAGGTCCTGAGTTTGATCCCCGGGGGGTGCGGGGGGAGAAGAGAACAGACTATATTTTTAATTGTGAGAAGTATTCAACATATACAGAAATAAAAGGGCAGCATTTTGAAATTAGGTGAGGTCAATACAATTCTACTCTTTGGAATCAGTTTAGCTAAATGGATCTGGTGCTTTTGTTGAATGAAAGTGAGTGGTGGGAAATGCCTGCCATTTCATTTTGGAAAGATAAGATTTACTTGTGATGCTTAGATTTTTGGGGTGGGTTCCTGTCCACAATTACTCAGATACATGTCAATTACTACATAAAAGGTCAAATGCAACTTGTCAAATCCAAAGCCACAGAGGGCGGGGTAAAAAGTTTAGTTCCCAAGAAAACAGTGATAGCTCAACAGTGTGGAAACTTTACCTAGAGGAAATCAGCATTAAATTAGTACTGTTGAAAAAACACATTGAGGAATTACAGTAACATCTGATAGTTCCTTCTAATGTACATATAAATAGCATCATGGAAGCTTTTCATATTATCTGTTTTATGGCATTATAGATTTGATGAACCAAATGAAAACTGAATCTCCATTCCACATCCCATCTTTTATTTCTAGATAAAACCTATTCTTGTTTTCAAGGTAGTTTTAAGCATCCATATTTCTTAAGCTGTATTTGAGGAAATCATGGTTAATCTTGGATGTTATCTCTCTTCATCTTGTACAAAACAAAGCAAAAAAAACTCCAGCAGATTTAATATTGGCATTCGTCGTTGATCAATCCCTTCACACGTCCTTCAAATGAATCGAATTTGGAATTCTCAACATTTTCTGCATCACTAAAGTAAAGTGTGGAATTAGATTTCTTCTTTGCCACATTGAACTTTTAGTCGCCATTTGGGTTGGGTTTACAAGATGGGGAAGTAGAGACATTTCTTGGCCAGAGTCTCTAACAGTACAGATGTAGAAGAGAGATGGAGACCACAAAGAGATTGGCTGTCGACTGCAGGGCACTGTTGCCTGCCTTGGTGGTGGCATTAGTTGGGTTTGGGGTAGTGGAGGTGTTCTGGGAGGTGTTACTTGAAGGTTGCACAACAGCTGTTTGGTTTGAGTAAATCTAAAATACATAAAAAGTTACTCTGATAAATTTCTACAGATTATCATAGCTAGCTCCACAAGCACTCTACTGTAAAGGTAAGTATTCATTCATTAATTCATTTTTACAATGCTGGGAACTCAACACAGGCCTGTGTGTGCTAACCACATACTTTACCACTGTGCTACACCCAAGCCCTTGAAATTGTGAGGCTGTTTTTTCCTCCATTGTTCTTTTGCCCACATCATTAAAACTCTGAATTCCTGCTCAGTCCCACCTAAGTTTTTTTAATATGAAAACTGCCTATACTTGTCTAAAAATGCAAGTAGCAACAAGAACAAAAACAAAGTTTTTCAGTAACTATATAACTCCCAAGAGTGTGTCTATTTTTAATCCTATACAAAGGAATGAAGACCAAGTTTGCGAATTTAGTCCCCCACCCCATACCAGGGATCAAACTCAGGACCTTGTGCTTACAGGGCAGGCATGGTACCACTGAGCTAAATCCCCAGCCCACAAATCTAGTTTTTGAGATCATATGAGCTTACTGCTATAAAGTTACCTCTATTTTCCTAGAAGGAGGGGCATTTTAATGTTTCATCTAAAAATTGGACTTTAAAATATTACAAAAGAGGTTTGTGGTACTAGAAATAATTGGTCCCTGTCTATCCCAGATGCAACCTTCACAAACCTATAGAGCCTGGGTAACTGACGTTAGCCTTTAACCTAAGGAGGCCATTGGGTATCTTCTTGGCTCCTCGGAAATATTGAAATTGTAACTGTTCTCAAAAATGGTGACAATATTTGTTTTAAATTGAAAAATAAAGAATTCTTGCTTTGAGGCAAAATGACTTCACTCAAAGCACCATCTATTCAGAATGACTTCACATAAAAGACACCAGGAGGCTCTGGTGTTAAATTCCATCAGCAGCAAGCTCGAAGCCTGGTCACTAGCTCAATGCAGTGGCCAAGAAGCAAGGTTTTCACGTTGTCCCAGCATCTGAGTGGTATCATTCACCACTGATTTCGAGTCACAAATGCACAGTCCAGTGGGGCACGTGATAATCTCGCCTTTGTCGTGGAACAAAGGCAGATCGGAGTTTTCAGCTCTCACTGCCAGGGAGGGTTTACAAGAGCTTCCAATTACAGACAGGAGGGAGGAAGGAGGAGGCACCAGGCGAGTCCGGGCCACATGTACATTCGGCTGACTCTTAATCCAAAATAAAGCCTACCTACATCAGCGATAGTTCCTTTTGTTGTACAACCCAGAAGGCCACTAAGCTAATACTGATTAAAGAAATCTAACCGCAACAAAATTCTTGATCAAGTCAAATATCATTTATTGGGCATGGACTGCAATAATGATCATGTCCATTTAAGAAACAGCACTCCCGCTAAAAGGCAAGCCTTAATATGGTAGATTATTTAAAACAGGACGCCTGTTGGGAGGAATCTGGATGGGACCCTTGTTCTTAATTCATACAAAGAGCGTTAGTGTGGCAGGTGACTTTTAAAAGAGCCCAGGGCATCAATCTGAGAATCTAAGGGTCCACACACTCCCAAAAGGAGATGCTAATTAAATGCTAACATTCAACAAAACAAAATAAAATAAAAACTCCTACCAACCTAGTTTTACTAGCTCAACTAGAATCTCTGTTAAAAAACAAAAAACCGGGGGAGTGGAGTGGTCCGAATGAAAAGGCGAGAGGACACCCTTCCTCTTCTCGCGGCCTAGCCCTTCCCCCACGGGGGAGTTGAGAAAGGCCCCGGAGCGCAGCCGACCCGAGGCCAGACAATAGGGTACAGTTACGGCCCGTGGTGGGAAAGCCCGAGAACGCCCCACTCGCAGGCTGCGCTCCCAGGTGAGCCTAGGAGCTCCGTGGCTGGGGCCCGGAGATCTGGCACGCCCAACTTTGAGGGGTGTGAAACGCCAGTCGGAGGTGGTGGAAAGCCACCGGCTGCTCCCGCCCTCCTGGCCCGAACGACTCGCTCCTTCCCCACCCCCACTCGGGTCCCGGGACGCAGCCCTGGTCCCACTCTGGGCGCCACACACTGGCCGGAGGACGGCGCAGTGCTACTCCTGGTGCCCGCCTGGGGGTCCTGGGGGTCCTGGGGACGAGGTCGGTTCCCGGGACGGCCGATGTGGGAAGGGAGAGGAGGTGGCGTGGACCAGGACAAAGCCTGGCGGAGACGGGACAGAAACGCCCGCCGCGCCGCCTGCCCAGAGCCAGTCCATCTGGACTCCACGGTGCCACAAGGGCTGGGTGTAGGAGAGCGCAGCGTCCGGACCCCGTCGTTCCTAGGCTTTAGCCCCAAGAATCCCGGGAGGGGGTGAGAAACAGAGCCTCCTCGGGGCGCCCACACCAGCTCCGAGGGCGGAGGGTGAGCACTAGCAGCGCGCCCCGGGGGACCGAGCCCGCTCTTTGTGTGGCACGCGGGAGCCACAAAGGAGGGGCAGCGCGCACGAGGGGGTGGAAAGTGGGGTCCCCACTGCTCTTCTCCCCGGCCAATTACACAAAATTCTCCCGATCCTGGTGCTTTCCACCTCCTCGGGGTGGCGTTTTGACTCAGCGCTGGACCCGAGGTAGGGACCACCCCGCCCGGGGGGCAGGCCCCGACCCCCTAAGGACGCTAGGGCCTCACCTGCGTGGGTAGGAGCAGCGCCAGGAGCAGCAGCCCCAGACCC